TTGTTGTTTGTTTTTGTTTTTTTGGAACCGGGGATTGAACTCAGGTCCTTGTGTTTGCCAGGGAAGCACTTATTCCGCTGAGCCATCTCCCCAGCCCCTCCCCGCCACTTCTATATTTTGTCTTAAATACCTAATACGAGACCTCCAGAAATACAGGTAACAATTCACCATAGGAAACTGAAATATAAACTTAAGCCTCTAGAGGATTAGCTAAAGCTACTCACCACCTGGTAGATACATAATCAGTATATGGTGGCTGTGACCTTAATTCTCTTGCAAGTCCAAAATCTGCAATTTTCACAAGCTCAGGACCCATACAAAGCAAGTTTTCTGGTTTCATGTCCCTGTGAAAAAAGCCTTGGCAAGAAAGAAGGGAAAACATAATATATCATGACTTAACACAACTTTATTTGATATACAGACAAAATAAAACCAAGCCCCTGTTGTAATTAGAAGCATAGTATTAGGAAACCAAACTATATTACCTAAAAAGTGATGGGATATGAGGAGCCTGCTTTCAAAATGATTTGGCAAGAAAGTTCATGAAGTAGGGCCGGGGATATAGCTCAGTGGCCTAAGTGCCTGCCTGGCAAGTGCGGGGTCCTGAGTTCAATCCCCAGTACAAGAAAGAAAGAGACAGACAAAGCCCACAAAGTATGTAAGGTAACTACCCACACAGCCTGTACTTCTGTGACTCTGCCAGGCTTGGCTGACACATTAGGGTCATCTCCATTAACATACAAATTTAAGGAGCTGGGGCCACTGTCATCACTGTCCTGTAATAGTTGGGGAGACTGAGGCCCAAAGAGAAGCAGCCTGTGACTGGTAACCACTATTTAATTGGCCAATTTAATTGGCAGCCACCCAGGGGACTGGGGGAGTGCACTTCTAGGTGTGCCTTGGTGGCGTGTGGGCATGTGGCCCTCAGTACTCTATCTGGCCCCTCACTCTCTCCTCTCCAGTACTATTCCCCTGCCCTGCTCCTCAGCCATTGTGAACTAAGCAGCCTGCTCCGGCATGCTGTCCGCCATGACGGTCCTGCCTTGGAGCCCACGACCACATCTGGGTTCCCTGAAGCTGTGAGTTAAGTTAGTCCTCTTTTCCCTCACGGTGTAGGTTCTGGGCATTGTCTCAGCAATGGAAAAGCTGGATTATGCGTGACCTATTTAATGTGTAGAAAGGGCTTCCTAATCAGGCTTAAGTTCACAGAGCCATTTTTACTAGGATTCTGTCACTGTGCAGTTTAAGGCAAGATTCCTCGAGTATAATCATTTATTCGAAAAGATATTGAGAAAAATAGAATGTACATATTACAACTAATTTCCTCATTTAAAATTATTTTAACAGCTTAGTTCTTCAGGCAGCTAAAGCTTTGAAAACCTCAATAGTTATAAAGTTTATATTACCAATTCAATATATAAACCACATGATTAGTTATATGGTCTAATATACAGCTTGGAAAAAAAGGAAGCAGAAACCCAGGAGAAAGAAAAAGAGCAAAGCCTTTTTGCTGCAAATCAGGGAAGGGTGCCTTTGCCTATGGGTGGTCTCAAGCACCCTGGGGGTACACAGATGTGGGTTCTGCCAGTTGTGCTGGTTACGTGAACGGCAGAGGGACTGAGGCTGCAGGGTGGGCCGATGATGTCCAAGACCACACACTGCACACTGATGCTCAAAATTCTGCTACAGAGAAAGACAGCCATAGGCTATAGGTATTGTACTTTATAACAGAACTGTACAATTTCAGATAAAGCATCCAATTTAAGTAGCCACATACCACGAACTTGTGGCTATCTGCTATAAAATTACTCAACCATTGATAAACAGCTCATGTGCTTGATCCTGACATCACTCTTCACAGGCAGGGACATGAGGAGAAACCCACCGTGCTTGTGGATGAACGCCAGCCCTTGAAGTATTTGATACATAATGTTTCTGATAACTGACTCCGGGAACAGTTTGTTTCTGGAAGAAATGAATCAACAGTCATGAAATTCTGTCAGCCAGCAGTACCAAGAAGAGAGCCTTTCCTAAACAGGACAAAGAAGATACAATATTCCAGTGACGTTGGCACCCTTGAGGCTTCATGATACTGACTAAAAGTATAATTTATAAATTTTTAGTGTTAAAGATTATACATTCTTATTCTTATGATCATTATTATTATTCTTTTGGTTTTTCTGAGACACGGTCTCACTACATACTTCAGGCTGGCCTTGAACTCACCATGTAGCCCAGGCTGGCTTTGAATGCATGGTGATCCTCTTGCCTCAGCCTCCGAGTGCTGACTCTAGAGGCATAAACCATCACGCCCAGATTCAAAATCATAAATTTAAAATGTGAATATAGAATTCTATTTTGATATTTCTTTTTATGTATTTAATACAGGATCTATAGCGTCTCACTACACAGATCGCTCTTAGAATGATCCTCCTGTTTTCAGTCTTCCAAGAATTGGGATTACAGGCACATGCCACCACGCCGTCTCAGTCACTGTCTTAGCGCACCCTCGGCGCAGGGCCCGCACGGTATCACACCCTGATCACTATGAACCCTGGTCCCTGCATCTGCCTAAGCAGGTGCTTTAATCCGCTGAGCTATCTGGCTGGCCCTATTTTGATATTTCTTAAAAAGTCAAATCCAATGTAGAATGTATTACACAAAATTCCACAGCTCAATTCTAAACTGGTCAAGAGGAGCAAAGTGAATTGAAAACTGAATCACTGTCCAAGGAGGTGAGAGGTGAAGCTGCACCGCCGAGGCTCTGAGAGTTTATGAGCCTGTGGGCGTCCGTCCTGTGCTGCACAGTGGTACGGTCCATGGGAATATAGTAAGAGTCACAAGGGAGCACCACCTGCATGCTTAATTTTTCTAGTACACACATTTTATATATTTTTTTTATATTTAGTGTAGGTTCTACCGGGTCTACAAGGTCTCACTACGTAGATCAGACTCCTAGTGATCCTCTTATTTTCAGCTTCCCACGTGCTGGGATTACAGGCACGCACCACCATGCCCAGTCTCAATCTCTGTCTCAGCACGCCTCAGGGCAGGGCTGGCTCGGCAGGCCGGGGCTCGAACCTCCGACCCCTGTGTCTGCCAAAGCAGGTGCTTCAATCTGCTGATCTATCTGGCCAGCCCTTCGTATACACATTTTAAAAAGGCAAATCAATAGGTAAATAAGTAATTTTAAAACTTATTTTAAAATTTATTTTAACATCATAATTATATTAAGATTGCACACACTACTGGGTACCACGTGATCTGGGGAGCAGTGCTGGGGACGGAACTCAGGGCTTGGAGCTTGCTAGGCAGCACGTGTCGGAACCCGAGCTCCATCCTCAGCCCACGGGATGTGCTGACGACTGTGTACGGTGTAACGTTTAAGTGAGGCTGGACACAGCTATCTGCTCCAACATTTATCATTTATGCATGATGAAAACATCCAGAATCCTTCTAGCCATTTGAAATCTACAACTCCTACAGCTGTCACCAACTACAGGATGGCATTCTCAGAACTTCTTCCTCTGGTCTAAGGCACCCCTGACCAACCTCCCCTCTCTGCCTCTTCACTTGACTAAATTTTATTTTTATTTTTGCAGAACCAGGGATTGAACTCAGGGCTTTGAGCTTGCCAGGGAAGCGCTTATTCTACTGAGCCTTCTCCCCGGCCCCTACCTGACTAATTTTAAAGAACATATTTCATTTAAACCTAATATGGGGGGCCTGGCCCTAGCTCAGTCCTTTAAGTGGCTGCTTCCACAAAGCTGTCAGCCTCAGGGTGCTGGAGTTCGAACCTCACAACTCTCCTGCTGGCCAAAAGTGCCCTGAAGGCATTTGAGGAACAAAAAACAAAACAAACAAACAAACAAAAAAAAAAAACAAACAAAAAAACCCCTAATATGTACCAAATAGCATTTCAACATGCAAATCAGCATACATAATAGTTTTCTTGTTTTTACAACCAGGTTTTGGGGGCCTGTTATAGACTTCACAGTGACAGCAGAGGGCAGTGCAGCCACTCCAAGGCTCAGCGGGCGTGGGTGGCTGCAGCCTCTGCCAGGCCAGGGCAGCTCTATCCGGTACATGAGAGCCAGAGTCTCTAGAGCTTCTAATAAGGATGCGCGCGAGGCTGCAACGGACTCATCTCTGGGGCTGCCAGTTACAGTGATAACTAATTCTTCAAATTTCAGAGATTCTGTCCAGATTTAAAATTCAAGGTGAGAGCCTCTTTGGGGTTGAGAACACACTGTTTTATCATTCGCTTCTGCATTCTAGGGCGGGATTTCATCAGGTCCTCTTTTTTTAATTTTTTCCCAAATGTAATTGCTATTTATTAATTATTAAATATCAAGAACAATTCATTTTTACATAAGTTTTGTTGTTGTTGTTGTTGTTGTCGTCTCTCTTGACAGCCGCTTCACTCCTTTCTCCTCTTTCTTTTACCTTTCACAAGGTGATCAGAACACAGTGAAGACAACTCCCCCAATGCTGCCTAAGGCCAGCTTTATTATCAGAGACTGCAGACAGATTTTTATTTTATGTTAAAAAAGTAAAATAGAAGATATGTTTACCTAAAATATTTACCTTGGCTTTTAAGGAATTACAAGAAAAAGGTAGTGGCATGTCAGGCCTGGTTGTTTAACATTTAATCTGCTGCCATTTAACAAAAATAACAGAACTAATAATCTACCTTTAGGGTGATAAAACCATATATCAAGCACGACATATTAAAAGGGTCTAAGGAACTCATAGAAGAAATATTAAGGGAAAAATACCATTTTCCAAAATAAGGACATACCTGTCTTTCATTAACTGATAGAGATTTTCTTTCATATACTCAAATATAAAATAAAGATGGTTATTTTCTCTGATAACTTCTTTCAGTTTAATCACGTTGACATGATTAAGTTTCTTCAGAGACTGCAACACAGCAAAGCAGTAAAATTCTTAAAGCAAAGACAATAACAAAATCTCATCAACACTAGACATAACTTAATCTTGTTTTGTTTTGTTTTGTTTTGTTTTGTGGAACTGGGGATTGAACTCAGGCCCTTGTGCTTGCCAGGGAAGCAATTATTCCACTGAGCCATCTCCCCGGCCCCTTTATGACTATAATCTTAAGTAATTTTCTGTTTTTCAAATTAATGAATTACATTTTGGTTTTGGTTGAGACAGAGTTTTGCTACGTAACTCAGGCTGACCTTGAGCTTGAGGCAATCCTCCTGGCTCAGCCTCTGAAGTTTTTTTTTGTTTTGTTTTTTGGGGACAGTGTCTTGCTATGTAGTACAAGCTGGCCTCAAACTCATGGCAGGCCTCTTGCCTCAGCCTCTAGAGTGCGGGGATTACAGGCATGCACCACCACATCCCACATGAAGTACATTTTAATATCTACATAATTTTAAAACATCTTAGAACACCTACTTAAAACAAATAGTAAATGTTTTAAGTAATGAACGTTAAGTATAAACAAACCAGTTAACAACAGCTATGTAACATCTGCCACTTTTTTCTCTTGGTCTGTCAAATTGGTCTAATTTTTTTCTAACTTAATTAACTACATGAAATTTCATGCAAATATCTCCAAAAGTTTATTCAAGTCATATAGCTTAAAACATAAATAAATGGGATATAGTATTTTAAAAGTACAGTATTTTGAACTCATTTTCCTTTGATAATATGAGAAGAAGAAGTAAGACAAGAGGAGATAAAGGAAAAACACAAACACAATCATCCGTGGAGCGCATCCCACAGAGAATGAGGGCCTTCACTACTGTGCACCAGCTGAGGTAGGTGGAGTCAGGGCCTTGATTCTTTTCATCCCTCAGACTTTACCTTAACTTCTCTCAAGTTCATGCATTCATCCCAAGAATAGAACTTTCTCTTCATCCTGAAATAAATAATAAGGAAACATTTGGTGCATGCGGCTGAGGATTCCAAGATGCAAATGACAGCACTGGTTATACTATTTACTTTATCACTGATTGGGATTAGGGTGATTATTGGTTCTCTTTAGGCAACTTATGGTTCTTCTCTTTGTATCCTGACAGGAAATTCCCTCTGCCTGCATCTCAAGGGGCTTGGTAAAGGCCAGGGCATCGTGGGAACTGTCATTAATCTCTTCTGGGTGAGGTCTTAACATCATTCTAATCAATGTAACTGTTTTTCTACATTTGCTCTCTCTTGGAACATAAAAAGCACAGACGAAATAATATAGTTTAGAGAGGTATGGAGAAGAATCACAAATTTTAATAGCAAATTTAGTCAATGGTTTCCTTAATCTCACACAACTTTTATAGCATCACTTCAGCTTTGGACAAGAAGACCATAACATAAAGTGATTTAAGTCAGCAAAAATCCAGAAGCAAGCAAGCTTTAGAAAATCTTCTCCCCTCCCTCCCTCTTCTTTTGATTCTAGGATTGAACCCAGGTCCTTCTTGAATTCTGTTTACCATTTCCATCTCAGTGTTGGGTTACCCTCACACATACACATATCTCATGTATATTTAGAGTAATAAAGTGATTCCTCCATGTATACCATAGACAGAGACTATAGTTTTATACACAGGAATTTTTAGTCACCATACAAAACAGGAGACAACAGACAAAAGATTTTTAGTCACAATTCAGAATAGTATTCATGTTCTAAAAAGGTTTCTTAGGGTATGGAAATTACAAGGCTAGATTATGAAAAATAAAAGCCAAATATATTCTACTGCTTTCATGACATAATCTCCTGTTGAGATGTCCTGGAAGATCCTTGGGAAGTTTAAAGTTACTCTATTAATTATAGTAATTCTTCTAGTCTAGAGCCTCTCCAAGGGTTTAACATACAGAAGGAATTACCCACAGAACTGGCAGCATAAAGTTCTTAAGTGGGCTGGGGAACAGCATGGCCTGGAAGCCGAGCTGTGTGGCCCGGAAGCAGGACTGCGTGGCCCAGAAGCAGAGCCCCCTTAAATGCCTCCGCGTGCATGCAGCCCTCTCACGGCGCACTGGAATCACAGCCCTGCAGGTAGACCTTTGCTGTGTCTCCACCTTGATTTCTCTCCATCCTGCTTTCCACATCATCACCGATCCCCACACAGATGTGGTCCTAGGGTGGCTGCTCACGGTGGAGTCCCGAGCGAGGCAGTCCTTCCTGCAGGAGCCACTATCTGATCTGATCTTTTCTCTGCAAGCACATTCTGCTGTCTTCAGCATAGTGAGTGCGGACTGTGTCCCAGACCCACAGAACTTTTGGCCAGCGGCCACACAAGCGTCAGTATTAGTGTGCAACCAAGCCACCTCCTCGTGGCTCTAGGGAGAAGCGGGGCCTTTTGTGTGCAAGAAGAGAAACACCTGAAACACATTCAGTCCCATCTTTCCTGCCTTTAGCAACCATCAGAGGTGGGGCTTTCTTTCCAGCCACAGGAACTGCAGGAATACAGGCAACACGTGCGCTTCTGTCCCCAGCTGGGGGAACACAGACGGGCGGAGCCCCTCAGGTGTACCGTCCTTTGAGCTCCTTGGCTGTGAACACTAGCTTCCTCCACAGGTGTGGCGCTGGTTAGCTGGAATCCTGGAAGGTCCAGGCCAGCCACAAAGGCTGTGAATGCAAGTGCACAATTAACAATTCCAGGGTTTCTAGTCTGAACAGGGCCTCGATCTTAGAGACAGATCAAATGGTATCGCTGAACGAAGCCTCCCAGCCAGTGCCAGGATGCTCTGAATCAAAGGCTGGACCATCAGCCCTGCGTATGTCCAGAGCCTTCACTCCATCAGCGATCCAATCGCAGACAACGGACTCGGCTCAGGGGAAGAAGCCTACCAGCCCAACCAGACCGTGCACAGATCCAGCTGCTGCTCTCTGCAGAAAGCCAGAGGGCGCTTGCCCGGCCAGCCCTCCATGATGCGCCCCCTTACTCAAGGGAATCGCTCTGTTTGCGCTCATTGTGTGGGTTGCTTCCAGGGCTGTGGTCTGGAGGTCGCAGCTGGTTCTGGAGGATTCTGAACAGCTCTGGACACCTCCACCACCATTGCTCATCTTCTGAAGCAGAGTCACTGCCCCCATTGCCAAGGTGTCTGGCTCAAGGTCCCAGCTTGGCTCAGGGTCCCAGCCAGCATGCTTCTGCTAGACCCAGCAGACAGAGCAGAGGATGGGCCTGCAGCCAGTACTGCTTGCGACTTCCCCCTCTCCTGAGCCCCCAGCCAGTTTTGGCTACATTTCTAGACTGCGCAAAAGCTTTTATTTTTTTGTTAACCTGGCCTGTGACACTCAGCGTGGAGAGGACTTCTGCTCACTGTGTCACTGGGGAGCCCATCGCTGTGCCAACACCTCGGAGTTCACGTGCACAACCCTAGATGGCAGAGCCTGCCCCACACAGGATGTCACATGTATGGTTCATCACTGAGCAAAATGGTAAAGGTGCAGGACTGCAGACTTCTCTCCTTGAGTTTTGCTCAGGTTCCATTACTCTGCCTGTCATGTGCCATCGGCCTGGGCACCGCCTCTTTGTCCTGGCTGTCCCCATGCTGGGCAGCACTCAGCCTCCCTTCCGTGTTCTTCCTCAATGTCACCTTTCAGAGCTCGTCTCTAACAGCCCTCCCAGTCCCGAGACCACTCCCTCAGTTTTTCTGGTTAGAAAGATTCTGAAGGAAAAGTACCTTTTTCCAGGTCATCCACTTGCCACTAGGGGCTGCGTTACTGCCCACTGCGAAGACCAAGTGATAGATGAAGCTCTTCTCAGCTTTGCAGAATGTGAATTTTTTTTTTCTTTTTTTTTGGCAGGGGAGGGGGTCCAGACATATAGTTCAGTCTGACCTCAAACTTGTGCCAACCCTTGTCTCAGCCTCCACAGTGCTGGGATTACAGGCGTGCACCTACATATCTGGCTTTCAACATGGAATTCATTTTTAATTTGGAGGGAAAATATAGACAGATTTAAGGTGTTACACATGTGTTATAACTAGACTACTTATGCTATTGGGAATGCTGAAATTTTTATACTACCGGGCACTAAGGCCAGAGTCCTGACTGCATATTGTGAGATGTAAACTGTTCTGATAACAAACAGGGATAAAATGAAAATGGAAAGAGAGGATCTCACACTCTGTCATTTTCAGGTTTATTCCTGTCCCCACGCCTTGTTGTATGACCTTGTAGGCAATATAAGGTCACCCTGGGAAGGACCTCTCACGCAGAGCCTGGAGGTGCAACAGCTGCAAGGACTGTCTCCGCTCTTAATGCTGCCTGGAGGACCAGCTCCCTCTGCTTGTCTCTGTCATCACAGTTCCTTGGAAACACTCATGCGCGCCTCGTTCAGCTCCACCATCCCTTCAGCCGCCTGCTTGGCTTTGCTGGCCTTGCCCAGACTGGTGCCCCTGAGCAGCCTCTGCAGCCCCCACCCAGCACTGTGCTGGCTGGCTGCCACTCTTGCCTCTGGGTCCCTCCACGGTGGTGACTGGGACAGAGAAGTCACTTCCCTTGCATACCTGCCTGCACAGCCTGGCGTCTCCAGTGGACCCTTGCTGCTCTTCCACAGTCCTTTGATGACCTCAGCTGCCAGGTGCCATGTCCTTCAGCACGTGGCCAGGATCCTGCAGCCACAATTCTGCCATCTACCACTTGGTCTAGGTTATCTCTGCTGCTGTGACAGTGCTCACTACAGCCACTGGTTATGTCACAGCTCAAGGAATCTATAGTGGATACTACTGCTTGGACACCAAAAGGCCATTTTCAGCCACCAACCGTAGAGGAGGAGGAGTCTGGAAGCAGGGGTAGCACATGGCCCTATTCTGGCCAAGAATGGACTAGGTAAGTACTTGGGGCTTCCAAGAAGGACATACCACTTTTTGAATAGGCTGAGAGAAGAGTTCTCTGGTGTTACCCTCCCTTCCCCATCCTGGAAGGTGGACGTAATGGCTGGAGGCCAAGGAGCCATAACATGAACACTCTGTGACACATCTGAGGTGGGGGAAAAACGCTCGGCATGAAGAAGAGAGAAGAGATCTGATTCCTTGGGCATCCTCTTGCGCTCTGGAATCATAGAGTTCCAGGTCCTCTGACAGGACAGAATAAAGTTACTGACGTCATCCATTCCGCTTCCGCTGACAGTCTACACCTCTGTGACTTGCACAGCATGCACTCCTACTAGGAAGCTGCATTTCGGCACCTGTTCCCACCTGTCTTCCAGGTCAGGGCATCTCTCCAGCAGATCTCTCCCCTGGGTCCAGGAGTTCTCTACACCTCGGGTCCCCGGATTTCTTTAGTGGTTCCTTCACAGTCTTATTTGTGAGAGCCAATTCTAGAGCCCTTGCTTTGCACATGGGGTATCTCAGTGGTCTGTACCGGGCCCTCTGCTTTTCCTTTTAGAGGTACATGAGGATCAGACCCAACTGTAAGGTTTCATAGACACCTTATAAACACAGGCTAAAAGTAATTTTACACAACATTTTTTGAGAACCTGTTTTTCTTTTTTTTTTCTTTTTTCTTTTTGGTATTTTGAGATACAGCTTCACTATGTAGCTCAGGCTGACCTTGAACTGACTATGTAGTCCAAACTGGACTCAAACTCACAGAAATCCTCTTGCCTCAGCCTCCCAAGTACTGGGATTACAGGCATGCACCATCACTCGCATTTCTAGAGTGCTTGCCTTTTGACTATACCTTTATAAAAAGCTACACGAAAAAAAAACTACACATGAACCCAAGTGTGGAATTTTCCAATTATGGGGTCATCTCACGTTCAGGTTTGGGAGCATGTTAGAGTTTGGGCATTTGGAGTAAGAATGTTCAGTCTTCTGAATGACCAGGCCAGCCCTCTGTTTTGTGCTTGAAATGCAAATAACTCCTTGCCCCCACCACTTTCCAGCTGTCGTGGCCAGAAGGGACCTTAAGCCTGGGGCTTG